AAAGTGATGGTTTTACAAGCAACTTTCAATAGTGTATCTTAATTAAGGGGGTCTAAGGCGTTCCAGGTAAGGCTAAGAAGCCGAATGTAAGTCTCTCCGCGGCACCGTCACTGGCGTGCCACTTCACAAAGAAAAGCGCCGGCGCACAACAGCATCCGTGAAAGCTACAAATCAAGCACCGGCTATGCAGTGGTACTGTGGTGATGGCTTAAGGGTTTAGTTTCTAGGACAGGGGAGCGGAAATGGCAATAGCTGTGTGATTTAGGGAGTAGGGATTAGAGCAAAGGAATGGAAAATTATGGCAACAACTGTAACTATGTGATTTCCGGGGTAGGGCTCAACGCAAAGGATTGGGAAAGAAAGAGGCAATAGCTATATATATGATTTAGGGTAGGGTTCAAGGCTAAGGAATGGCAAAGAAAATGGCAGCAGCTATGTGATTTCCGGGCTTCAGTTTAAGGGCACCCGGATTGCTCCATACACCTTAACTAAGGATTCGGGCTTTGAAAGAAACTAGGACGTGGACCATAATGGGATACCTGGACTCAACATTCTTCGTAACAATGATGATTTGGGAAGCAAATCTTCTGAATGATAACATCATTGGTTCAAGAAATGAGTGGCTAACATACTTCAACCCTAAACCCTAAACACTCAACTCTAAACCCTAAAGCGTGACTTGTGGGTATGGTGGGGCTCCCTGGATTCCTTGATACGCTGTGCATAGCAATGGTAGCAACAACCGTACGGAACGTCTTTGTCAACAAAACCAAACAATGATGTCTAGTTCAGGGTTTCGGGTTTGGGGTTTAGGGTTTACCCAGACCCTCTTATGTGGTTCCTTTTTGGGTAATATACATAGATATATATATATATATAATAACCCCTTACCCCCCAACCCTAAACCCTAAACCCTACCCTAAACACTAAAAATAGACCCAAAAAAGGAACTACATTGGAGCCCTTGGGTAGGGTCCAGGGGTCTGACCGTAGACCCCCCCCAGCCCGAAACTCTACTGTCTGATACATTGCCAGGTGTGTTGGACCTTAGGGCTCCAGTTACCTAAGTAATGGGTTCTAGGTGCTATATGCCTTATAGTTACATAGCCCAGTAGCCTAATACTTAGGTAACTGCGAGCCCTAAGGGGACCTTAAGCCCTATAAACCCTTAACCCCAAACCCCCGGTATTGGGTTTAGGGTTTAGGGTTTGGACCTTAAGCCCTATAAACCCCAAACCCCCCTGTATTGAGTTTAGGGTTTAAGGTGTTGGACCTTAAGCCCTATAAACCCTAAACCTCAAGACCCCGGTATTGAGTTTAGGGTTTAGGGTGTTGGACCTTAAGCCCTGTACACTAAACCTTGAGCCAATCGCCGAATGACTGGCTTTCAGGTTGGCAAAACGAAAGGTTGAAGGTTTGCAGTTTGGGGTGCACGCGTTAGGAGATATACGCAATGTAGGGGCTTATGTCTATTTGAGGTACCCTGTCACTTAATGATACAAGGAACCTAGGACCACAATATTGGTAATTAGGGCGTCTACAGTATTGAACGATATTCATACGAACGCATACAATAAATGCAGGACAATAGGTTCACAATTGATGATTGTTTGAGCTCTTACAGTAGGGTGCGCAGGGCTCAAACAGCATCCTAAACCAGAAAAACCTAAACCCCCCAACCCTACAACCCCAAGTCCTAAACTCTAACCTAAACCCCATATAACCCATATATAACTCCTATATACTATATAGTAGTTGTCATTTTCTTCTCCGGTATCCCTATATAAACCCTAAACCCTCAACCCTAAACCGCAAAGGCTGCTTCAGAGTGCCAGGGATCTTGCTGATAGAGCTGGGTCTTCCTGACAAGGTGCAAGTTCTAAAGCTTCCGTATAAGAGGGATGTACCAGGGTTTAGGGTTTGGGATATATAAGGATGTATGAAATTGCATAGGAACATATAAGGGGAAATTTAGGGGCGTTTAGGGTTTAGGGATAAGGGTTTAGGGTGTAGGCTAGAACTGTGGGCCCATAATTTGGGCTGTTGATGTTGATGCTAGGGTCCTGCCTATTACGTAACCTTTAAACCCTACAAATCCAAGCAACCCTAAGGGTCCAAGGACCCAAATAATAGGGTTTTAGGCCCCAAATACTAGAATATTAATTGTATTTGGGCCCTAAACCCCTATTATTTGGGTCCTATATACCCCTATATACTCCCCATATATCCCTATATATCCCCCTATAACCCCTATTATTTGGGTCCTTGGACCCTTAGGGTAAGGGCCCAAACACTCGCCTTGGCGAGCTGAAGCATCTTCTCCTTCTGCTGTTGCAAAATCTCCCAGTCGTCCGCTCGCAACACCTGTGCTTGGAAGAATCCTAGACTTGGGGTTTAGGGTGTAGAGTTTAGGGTTAGGTGTAGAGGCATGATTTTACAACTCGACTCATTGAATGCGAGTTGTGTCCCTCCTTCTTGCCTGTTGAGCGCTTTGGATATTCTAACGGATCCTTATGCATTGAGTTGCATCTCGGTTTTCCCCTGTACGAATGATGCGGAATCTCCATACAGGCAGGCAGTAACTTGGCTACTAAAGTCCCCTAGACCCTTAGTGAGTTCCAGGCCCTCAAAACAAGCACAGAGAGCGCCACGAAGGTGCTTGTGTGTGGCATGGATTCCAGTTTATGGTGCATTTGCATAAGTTTGCCATATTCGCTTAAAAAAGCAAGAAAGTCCGATAGATCCTGTGCGGCATAAAGGCCGTGTGCATGAGCTGGAAGCCTGATCCTGCTCAGAGGGGTGTGATTTGGGTTGCAAAGTCAGAAGGGAACACCATAGACTAGAGACGGGATAGCTGTTTAAATTTGAGATACTATTAAACCGTTCGGTTCCGCAAGTCTGTGGGAAAAGCTGCTCAAGAAAACAGATACCTGCAGGCTCCAGACACATCAACACAACGCTTCTCCAACGACCCACCAGTGCCGACCACCTGTCTCAGCAGCGTCAGAACGTTGTCTTCGGACATGAGATACGTCAACCTAGAGCTCACCCAGACTCAAAAATACACCCTGAGGCTCCATGTTCCCGATAATTGGGTACTTGGGCTTGGAGTGATAGTAATTCTAATGCAGGTGTTGGGTGGGTTTTTGGTTGTCAGGTGCCTGGACCCTTAGAGACCCTACCCCTTTTTAGGGCTTAGGGCTTAGGGTTGTTTGAGGGACCTTGGAAGTAGGTAAGGTACGAAATCCGCTTCAAAAGCCCCTTGTAACCCTTTTTTTTATGTAGGTTCCCTGACCACTAGCAATCCCAGGGTACCACGAAGTAGTGTACAAAAGGGTCCAGGTAACGCTTACCGGCTTTTGGTTTAGGGTCAAGGGTTTAGCATATTGTAGCTTTAGCAGTCCCTTTGAAGGGGTATAAAGGGGTATCTACCACTTCTGTAAGGGTTATATGGCTTAGGATCCCTAAAACCAGCCCCCTAATTAAACCCTAATGTGAGGGTTGGAGTTAAACCCTTATTCAGGGGTTGTTGGGCTTAGGACTCTCATGGGGAAGCTGGGATTTTTCAAGCAAAAAATTATACGTACACATACTTCCGCTACCCGTTGGTGGTCTGACTAGCCATCAATCACCATCAATCACCTCCAACGAAGACCCCGATCCGTGGTTCGGTCTACAGGAGTAGACTTCACCATATTTTGAGGTGTATGCAGGAATCAGGTTAGGGGACCATTACACGAATCCACTCACCACTCACCCTGAAGGACCTGTAAGCGAAAGTGAGGATGCCTTCTCTTTGTTGACAATTGAAACCCATTAATCCCCACCCAACCGCTTCTCTTTTTGCAGCTTCCTCAACAGCCCAACCAAGCCCCAAAGCCTGCAATGCGAAGGTTCTTCCCGAAATAGCCCCCCTCAGCCTATTGATGCCTACAAGGATTGAACCATCTCAGGTCCCGAAAGCCCCCCTCCTCTCTCTCTCTGCCTCTCTCACTCGCTCTCTTTCTCTCTCTCAGAGTGGCCAAAAGTGTCCACTGTCAAGATCGCCTGTCAGCAGCCCGCCAAAAGGTCTCAAGCCAGAAAAATCCTAAACTTCAAGCCCCATACTGCAATCCGCAAGATCTACAGCACTGAGGGTAGAGCAGGAGTTCCTCCATCATCCTATACAACCCCATATAACCCAAATGGAAGGCACGGAAGGTTAGGGATTAGGGGTAGAAGGAGGGCCTGCGTGATATTGGGAACCCCTATACGGTGACCTGCAGTGCACTAATCTTGCTAATCCCAAAGGGACCATATATACAATTGTTAGGGAAGTAGGCCTGAAAATACCATACTCTAGAAGGGAATTATGGGTCCCAATTCCCTAATGGTTGTATATATGTGGACCCTCTGGGAATCTTGGGAAATCCCCGAAGCCCGAGGAACTCATCATCGGCTTCCTTGACCAAGTCCTGTAGCCGATATTGATCTGCGAGGCGACGCACAGACATGGCATACGACGCATCCCCATTCGCAGAGAACTTGCCTGGGCTACAATGCAGTACCTTCTTGGTAGTCCTCATAAGAGCCCTACCCAAAAGGAGGGTCCAGGTAGGGCTTCTGAGATAGGTTTTTGGGCCTAGGGTTCAGGATTCAGGATATATACATATGAATATATGTTTACATGTAGGGTTCAGGGTTTAGGATATAGGGCTTAGGGCTTCCTAGGACGCCAAGGCTTCTTTGTTTGCATGTGTAGACATGCGCCCTGGAGTTCTCAATGGGAACCCAGTTTCGACTATGTTCTACGATGTGCCCAGCTTAGACCTTTTGGAATGTTTCTTTGGATCTCCATAATAAACGCACGTATCTCGAATTCGGAAAAAATATGATGCGTCGTCGAAATCTAGCACCCTAGTGTTTCTAGACTTGAATATCCAGTTGATGGCGAAGTCCCCGATCCATATAATCTGAAGTTACTGGGCATGCTGTATGTTTCGTAAGAGCAGCCGAGTCACCGTCTTGTAGAAATTTAAATATCGCGCAGACTGTTTGATGGTTTGCATCTGGGTTGTTTCGAAGGTCAACTTCATGTGTACGCCCTTCTACCCAGCTCTCGTTCGAAAGCATTTCTGCGAAGTATTCCGATTGGGCCACCAAAACTCGCTTGTCAAAGTAAAGCGGAGAGCCTTCTGACAGCCGAAACGTCACCTTGCGGTAGGGGTGTTTTTGAGTGTATATATTGCTTAGGGCAAACCTTGCGGAGCCCCTCCACATACACCGTAGAAACTGTAAGCCCTAGTAGAACAAAAACAAACCGAAAAGTGGACTCATGCAGTTTCAGAAAATCCCACCTGTGTTATCTCCTGTGAAAAATCTTCCGCACGTTGCTGCCGTGGCGACCCCATAAAAGTCACAACTGCTTGTACACGAAGCTCCCCAACATCATCTCAGTCAAGTGGCTTTCTGGGATCCCTAACGACTTCTCTATACTTAACCCCCTCCGTTCCCCTCTCATTGGTTGTGATTAGCCGTGACTACCCCTAAATGAGCCTATGAAAGGTGGAGCCAAAGGGGTGGTATAGGAGGATGGTTATCCCATAATACAACGACCATGGGATAAGAGCTACCCTCTACCAAACTAACATGGCACTCCTTAAGGTGACCCACAAAGATTGTTTTTTTTTGAAATTGGGCATGATCTTTGGGGGAGGATCTAGGCTTGGGCTCATGGGAGTGATAGGGCCCAGGGTAGAAGGTTCCCCACAGAGCCTCTAGGTTTTTAAGGTTTAGGGTTGAGATATGAAGCTTGTAGAGTCACACGATTTGGGGTGGAGGATACCCTTTACTAATCAGTCAAAATTTGCCAGAACATGTCTGTCACGGACATTGCAAACAGCGGATATATAGGAGTTTATAGGTTTGGCGTCTAGACTTGAGGGCTGTTGTTGGGTTTAAGTTTTGAGACGTTTTGTGGTCTGGAGTTTTCGGGCTGTCGGTAAGGAAAGCCATAATGTCGAGGTTTCAGGATTCGGGGTTTGGGGTTCATAGTTTCGGTTTTGGGTTGAGGGTTTAAGGCATGGGCATATGTGCTCTGAAATTTATTGGATCCTCGGTACCTGTGGACAGTGTTTAGCATAATTAGTTATGCCCCCCTAAGGAAGCATATCAAGTTGACTTTCTGTAAAGAGTACCCCTTAGCACTTTCGGGGGCTGGACAGAAGCATATCAAGTTGACTTTCCGCAAAGAGTACCCCTTAGCATGTTCCCGGAACGTCCGAGCCCTGGTAAATCATTCCTCTTCCAAGTTCAAGATTCAATACATTTCGTTGCTTCAGAATTTATTACTTCCGGAAATAACTTGATATTAAACAAGGTAATCCCAAGACAAGTGGGGCACAAAGTTTAAGCCTGAATCCTTGGCATTGAAGATGATCGCTGCACAAAGGAAAGTGTGCAACACCGTAAAATGGCGGCCCGCAAAAGGGGCCGCCCTGCATTCAGAAACCACATGCTTGGAACTTCGAGCAGTGACCCATCAATCATTTCAATCCCTAACCCCTAAACCCTATACCCTAACCCCTAAACCCTCTACCCTAACCCCTAAACCCTATACCCTAACCCCTAAACCCTATACCCTAACCCCTGAACCCTATACCCTAACCTCTGAACCCTAAACCTCCAAATTTTGTGGGACCCAGTCACTCAACCAGCCAGACTCAGGCTGCCGGAGGTCTGAGGTCGACAAGCTGGTATCCCACTCCGCATAGACGTATTCCTGGGTTGCAGTTCAGGAACCTAAGTTAACTTACCATACTATGGGTGTAGGGGGCTTAGGGTTTAGGGTACAATGTTATGGGCGTATAGTAAACAAGAGAGGTTCCTTGTTATAGTAGCTCATATTGAATTCTTTAACAGCAACCCAGGTTCTCCATGACGTGATGCCGCGCAGTACACGTCCAGCTTGCCCATCTTCTTCCTATGTTACCCCTTGAAAAGCAGGTCAGAACTCTTAACAAGGAGCTTTGTAGGATTAGAGGATGCTGATGTAGCAAGCAAGCTTGCTAAAGAGACGCGAGATTCAAGCATTCGGACTCGTTTTCGTTGCAAACCACAAGCTCAAAGCTCACATTGGATCTGTCCAGGAGCTGCGGCGTCACCGGAAAGCTGGCACAAAAGATCCTTGGACTCCAGGGGGACTACCATAGGGGTTATGGGGTCTATATAGGGCTTATATGGGGCAAGAAAGGGGCCAACAAAGGTTAAAGCCCTTTTAGCGAGGGGTCTAGCTGTCCATGTTTGCTCAGGAAGGTAGCTTCCTGGCAATGCTGGGTTCGGGTTTGGGGTCTAGGGTTTAGGGTTTAGACATTGCACGGTGTAATTTACCCTAGGGCTCCCGGCTACAATCAATTATCTAGGTAACTGGAGCCCGAGGGTAAGACAAAAAGGACACCAACAGATAAGCCATGACACAAACGCCGGAGAATTCTTAGACATTGAAATCGAGTAAGGCGTGCGATGCGGAGTGACGTAGGGAAGTGCTCAGGTTCAGATCCCGTGCCGTCCACCTACCTCACGCATATGCCTCTAGCCTGCATTATCTACCATTTAGCGGCTGTAGGCTCCTCAAGAAGCCGTGCCCGCGCACTTTACTAAACGATGGAATCCGCGCTATAATCATTAGACATTCGCTAAACCATAGAATCCGTGCTATAATCATTAGACCATAAACCCTCTAAGTCCTGAAGCCTGAACCTGAATCCGAAACCATCCACCCTCAATCTATCTTATGCCTTAACTGTTGACCCTAGATCATAGATCAACAATACTTAGTCCTAAGCCATATGCCTAAGGAACCGTTTGAGTTATGGTCTAAACTTCTAGTGTCCCCCTTAATAACCCCCATAATACTCCCCCATATAGTCCTCTATATAATCCCCTCAAGGAGTGTAGACTAGAGCTCATTTGGTACAGTCACCCACAACCATTTGAGAGCCTGTGTAGCCCTAGCTCCTCAGCCAAACCTACGCCCAAAATCATAAAGCTTGAGCCCTAACACTAAAGTTCGGGGCTTAAGGGTTAGGGTTTAGGACTGAGTTTAGGGCCTGGTATTTAACATCCCTAAACCCTAAACTCCAGACCGAGTGGCAGACCCCATCCTAACCCCAGGGGTCTCAAGGGTCGCGCTACACCTCAAACCCCCAAATCCTCCCTCGACCTGAACGCTGAACCGTCAGCCCTAAACTCTAACCCCCAAACCCTAAACTCTAAATAGTAGCTTCCATTTTCCTTCACGTCATCCCTATACCCTAAATTCCGAAAAACCCTAATCCTAAACCCCAAACCCTAAACCCTAAATCCTAAATCCTCCTAAAAAAGGAAAAGGATCTCTGGCTCACTGAGCCAGATAGAGACCTTGAGGGTATCGCGAGGTCTTGTCTCCCGAGCTCCAAAGCTTGTGGCTAACCTAAGCGTTTTAGGGTTTTCAGGGTTTAGGGTTTAGGGATTATAGGGTCTAGGGATTAGGGTTTAGGGATTCGGGTTGAGGGATTTGAGTTTAGGGATTGGGTCTTGAGGGGGTAGGGTGGATTGTTTAGGGATTGGGGGTTAGGATGCTCTCAGGCCTAAGTGAGTGGTGGTTATCTGGGGCCTAAGTATTTACCGTCAATAGGGCTTCTTGGAAGGGGGTTAAAGGGGTTACGTGGGGTTTCAGAAACAAACAAGAAGATGGAAGCTACTGTATCATTTTTTGGGAGTCTAAGCTTGTTGGCAAGGCCCAGAAAATTCAGCATCATGGAGAATCAACTAAAACCTGACATGAAATCTAGGCTTTTGATGGCTGGTATAGGGCTTATAGACCATGCACGGGCCCAAAAAATGAAAAAAGCATGGTCCCGGGGGGATATGGATATACTGTGGTTATATGAGCCTCGTCAGGAAAGACAGTTGGTAATCAGTTATATGTTCATGCTTCTAAGGTTCACGTCTTAAGCTGTTGATTAGAGTCTCGGGAGGTTGGAATTTGAAGATTCAGCACGGTTGGGGTTCATGGGCGTTGGGCACTGGGGATTGGGATTTGAAAGTTCAGGACTCTGGGGTTATGGGTCAAAGAACTATTCCTTTTGATGCATGTGTTCGCAGTAGAGATGCAAAATGGTGTCCCTGAACCTGAAACCCTGGAGCCTAAACCCAAAACCCCTTTGAAGTTGCTGGTGATGAGTAGGACGCAACTCACAGCATCTGGACCTTCTTTACGGAACATCCAGGGATTGCTGGCATCTGAAGAAACTAAACATGAACCCGTGTTGCGTCTGTAGAATTTGGAAAATGCTATGCTGCTTGGTTGGAGAGAGAGTGAATAGTCTGTCGGCCTTACTAAACTCAAAACCCTAAAACCTAAAGCTTAAACCCTGAACCCCAAACTCAGGTCAAAGTACTTGCATGCTTGCTGGCCCAACTCCGGACCACTACAAACCATCTAGCAATACTCCTACAGCCTCATCCTGAACCTGGATGGGTTTAAGGTTTAGAGTTTAGGGTAGGTATCTTACCAAAGAGATGATGAGGTTGCAGGGGTATATAGGAGTATGTACGTTCATACAGGAGTATCAAAAGGGTGCACAGGGGTGTATGGGAGAAATGGAGAGTCAAAAGGAAAAAACTGGACAATGAAACATAAAGTGGGATGAAATAGAAGGTTAGGGCCAAGCCAGCAGCTTACAAAACACAAGTGTTCACGATATTTTTTACACATACACGCCTATACAGATATAGTCCCGCTTAAGTAGATAGAATATGGCTTTGGGTACACTATAATTAGATCCCCATATACCCCAAATTCTATCTACTTAAGGGGGACTATATCACCTGATGATAGCTTCGGTTTTTCCTACCATCCCTAGAGCCCAAGCAACTGAATCCGCGTCGCCCATCTCGGTCCAACCCATCGGGAAAGGTTTTCTTTTCGGCAGAGAATGTCGTGCAAGCTGATCCTGACTTGATGGGATGATTTAGGGTTTACCTGGACCAACGAAATGCCCAGATTGATGGCCCCCAATTGTGAACTAGCATGTAAAGGTTCAGTACTGCTCCCGCTCAGTAACAGTTGGATACTAATTATACTATGGTTATATATAGCCCTTAATAGGACCCCTAATATAGACTGTTACTGGGAAGTGGCAGTACCCAATGTAAAGGTTACTATGACCATGATTAATTGGGAGGGATCGAGGTAGAGTCTAGGCCCTTGTGGGGTTTAGGGTTTTTAGGGTTTAGGGGGCGTCCTTGTGTTTGGGATTCAATGTGTTGTTTGGTTGATTTTGCGTTTCGGTCTGCATCATCTAGTTGTAGACCACCAGGCGACCAGGACAAAACAACATCATCAGCCTAAACTCTAAGCCCCATATAA